AGCATATGTGAAGCTCTGATATACAGCAATTGTCTATAATTTTTGTCTCACTCTCATGTTTTTTGCTAATTATTGTGTAGAGGGTGCTGTATGGTTGCTATTAAATGGTAGAATTCTTAGGTAAAAACACAAAAAAAGACAACAATGAATACAAATATAAAATGACCAAGACTGAGATCAGGTATTGCTAACATAGAGTTTGTAGCAATACAAAATTTAATTGATATAGCTATTCTTGCTTCCTTTGATTTAAATTCTGTCCAATACTAAAAAGTCTAGTTTTCTATATTGACTTAACAGTTAAGATTTTTTTCACAGGACCAGAAAATTTTGCCTCCAGAGTAGTCAGGTTGGAATAGAAAAATAATTCTGTTACAACCCCAGGCCCTTAACCTAGTTTATTATTTTCTTCTGCTGTAAATAAAAAGCTATTACAAGTTTTATAACTCTTAGAGGACCAATATTAACCATGTACCCCTACTCTGTACAGTAAGAGATTTAAGTTCTGCATACACAATTTATATATAATACCATAGACACAAACTAACAGAATCTTTCAAATATTAATTCTTAAACATATTTTGCCTAATAGGCTTAAAGAAAATAAAATTTTTAGAATTGAATTAATTTGTCCAATAAGTATTTATTTGTCTTTTCCAGAAGACTTAACCATATTCTGTGGAAGGAACATAAAATGTTCATATATCCCAATGATTAAAACGGTATTCTCTGTTGACCACCAATTATTATAATTTTGTTTCCTTTAGGTATATGTGTTTGATTTCAAGTGTGCCTTGTAAGAAAAGTGAATAAGAGTATTTCTCCCAGAATGCAAAAATGTTGAACAATATTGAAATTTCAAACTGGATGAATGGGGTTCTTATTGTCTATTGCTTCTATTGCTACTAAGAACACTTGTTCTTGTTTGAGGAATGAAACTAAGTATGCATAAATTGTCTTTTTTTCCCAATTAAATTTTCGTTTTTTGTACTCACACTTTCGTAATGCAAATGTTTGGTGGAGAATTCAATCAAAAAGCCTCCAGCTTAAGAATATTGAATCTGTTAATCCAGGATATACAGGGTATCTCAATTTTCTCTGCTATTTTTCTTCATTGTAAGAACTTTTCATTTCACTATTTCAGAAAAGTACTTTCAGAGGAACAAAACAATATTAATCCATACAACTCTTACTTGTTAAAAATTTATTATTTTCTTTAACCCATTTAAATTCAAGGATCAGATATAATGGAGAAACATCAGAGTAAGTTGCTAGTGAGTGAAAGTATTCTGAGGTGTTTATGAAGCCTGTTTTCAGATAAATAGAGAAATCATCCATTTTTCTCTGACAGTGAATCTGTTTTGCACTGCATGGCATGAGGCCAAACTATAAAATGATATTTTAATGTTGTAAGCTAGATCAAAGAAACACCTTAATGATGTTTGGTCCTGCCTGAATATTAAGAGATAGCTTTGAAGACTCACACAATATGTTTTACAATCTGATGATTGCTTATATTTCCTCATTAAAATGGAGCAAAAGTTCTTTCAATGGTTTATGCTAAGCCTATAGGTATGAGTGTTTTTACTACCAAATAGTCATCATCCAAGTCTTGTAATTAACTACATAGCTTATGATTAGAACATTAAAGTTTAAACTAGTATCATATAGGGAACAGCACTATTTTTGAGTACAGAACATTTAAAAGTTGAGAAGAAACAGAAAATAATGAATAAAGTATCTTTATAGCTAGGAATTTTTTAAATTGAAATAATAAAACAAGGTTACTCCATTCATCAGGGACAATGTAAACCATTACCTGTTAAGAAAAAAATATTCCTCTTCTTTAGTGTATATTAAATGAATATAGGTTGATGTGCAAGGAAAATGAACTAGGGATTGTGGAAGTCTTCAAGGACGTTTCACTCTCCAGTTTCCACTCTCTTGGTAGTGTTTACTATGCTAAAGGCTCTCTATTTTTAAATAAGTCATGTCTTTTCCTTGTTTTCTGAAGTGATTTTATTGGAAAAAATTAAAATACTGAATTTATTGTTTATTATGATTTAAAAAAACAAGGAAGTAGTTTACAGAAATAAATGTTCATTTATAAAAATATATAAAGGGCTGAATGTTCTATCTGATATGTGGATGCTAGCTTACAATTGGAGGTGGGAGAAATAGAAAACTTTGGATTAGACAAAGGGGAATGAGGGGAAGGGAGGAGAATGGGAATAGGAAAGATAGTGAAATGAATTGGACATTACTTTCCTGTGTACATATATGAATATACAAACACTTTAATTCCACATTGTGTACAACCAGAAGAATGGGATGTTATACTCTATGTATGTATAATATGTCAAAACACATTCTACTGTCATGTATAACTAATAAGAATAAATAAACAAATAAAAACATATAAAGATAAACTCTGTTTTCAAGAATACTATAATGCAATAGATCTCGAAATATGGACTCATATAAGCAGCATTTGTATAACCTTAACACTTAGTAAAACACAAATTCTCACGCCCCAACCTGGATCTGAACTAGAAACTCTGAGGGTGGGGCCCATCAATAAAACAGAATAAACCCTCCAGGTAATACTGATACACACTAAAGTTTGAAAATAACTGTTCCAATCTAGTCTACTAAGATTTAAATTTTGGGTGGTTTGTAAAATATGATGGGACCTTTTGTATTACAAGTTCAACTTTGTTTATTTTTCGTAGGAAATATTTGCAAGGAGACCTAGAGGGAGCTATATTTCTGGGGCTTAAATGTCACATGTGCACAGATGAAAACTTCTGAAATAAAGCTATGAAATTTGACTATGTCATGGGGAAAGATGGCATCAGTTGTCTATACTTCCAGATGGATGGTTGAAAGCAGCAGAAGCTGGTGAAGGCAGCAACTCTCCCCAAAACAATTTGATTATTCCTTCAGTCCGAACTATAAAATAAAACCTCAAAATACAGTCATAAATACACTACATGCCTTATTCTGTAGGAGAGGTTTACTTCTTTTCTTGTTGTTCTTATACAGAGAAGAGAGAAAAAGAAGAAATGTGAATGGCATTTCTAAATATACCTATGTACTTTGAGACATTAAAAAATGTGTGGACTTATGAATCTTGTCCATTCCCTGAAATCTGTGGAAGAGCTCAAACTCCTTTCCCTTAATCAATACATTAAAAGCAACTGAAGGACAAGAAATGCTTCTGCTTTTTCTTTCCTTTCCCTCTGTATTATTCTATTCCTAGGGCAATTTAGTAGGTATTCAATACATTTTTTTTGATAACTAAAATAATGAATGCTATGGATGCTCTGAAGATATGGTAGACACTCTGGAGTAAGGAAAATGTAAAAATAATGTAGGTTTTCTTTTCTTTTTAATTTTTTTGTGGTGCTAGGGATTGAACCCTGGACTTTGCACATGCTAGAAAACTATTACTAAAGTAAGTTACTAGCCCATGTAGGTTCCTAAAATTCCTAATAGATACAAGACTCCTAAGGGAGACACCAACTAAAGATTAAAATGAATAAAGCCAATCTGATACATGTCATCTGGCCAAATAATTGTACCTGCCTGACATTTTTCTAGGCTCCCAGAGGAGCAATGGCTTCAGTCACTTTATATACTGTTCTATACATGGAACAAGAAATATATACAACTTTCAGGCCTTTAAAAAATCTAACGAATTCAATCATATTGTGATGTATTTGAGAATCTCATTGTATATATCCAAAAGTTAAACAACCTAAATATTTTATTTCTATATCCTTTGAGTCTCTTTGAACCTGATGATTAGAAAATTTAGTCCAACCTGCTTACACCAAATGTGAATTTACTAATTCTTGTATGAAAATAGCCAGATGTAGAACTTGTTTCAGCCATAGCAACATTCAGAGCTCAACAATCTTCATCTGGGCTTTTCTTTCTTTCCAACAGCCAGGTCTTCCTTCCTCTAACATTGGCTTCGTTTTCTGACTTCACATGGTACACAGAAGGTCTAAGCTCAGATCTTCCCTGTGCAAAGTCTAGAGAAGTCCACTTGTTTAAAGAAGGCAAAAACTTCCCCCAGAATGATGCTCTTTTGTCTTTGGTCTCCCATTCTTGATCACACACCAATCCCAGTGGCAGGAAGACATAACACTACCACTGGCCACACCTGAGTTAGTATCTGCTCTGACCCAACAAGTCAGAGCAGATACTAACATCACCTGAAGCAAATGGGTTGCCGAGTGGGACAATGGTTGCATCCTCCAAAATAAATTTCTATAGAAGATTGAGCACTGGGAAATAAATGCACAAAGGTCCACAACAAGTTATCATTAGTAGATGCTCCACAACAAGTTATCATTAGTAGATGCCACTAACTATGACTTTCACGTGTTGTATTGGTGGGGTCAAGTGAGATTTTAAAGAAATCATTCGACTTAGGCTCCTAATTAAACTATAGTTTTGGAGAAAATAACTTGAATCCAAAATGTCATCTACAAAATATCATCTCATTTGTTGGCCCCCCCACTTGTCTTCAGGGACTGGTTAGAAATGACAAGCAGAGCAAACTCTGAGTTTGCAACCATGCAGCAGCCCCACCGTGCTGCCCTGTCCAATGCCAATGACAGAAGCGCGACCAGTGGGGATCATACTGGTGCGCCCTTATCTTCCGCTACCGCCTAGGGGCCCCGCATCCGTTTCCCTGGCGGCATAACCCGGCTCATCCTAGGCTGCTTTCATCAATCCTTCTGGAGGGGCGTTCAGAACGGGCAGCCTAAGGAGGGACAGCAAGGTCTCCAGGAGGCCAGAGAAGCCAGATAAGCGGGGCCACCCTGGTGGGTGGGTAGCTGGCAGATGGAGGAGGCTCGCGTCCGGGGTCCCCGCCTCCGCCCCTTCCCCCGCGGGTGCGCGCCGGCTGGGAGCTGGGAGGCGGCGGCGGCGCCCGCCGCGGGAGGCGGCGTGAGAGCGGCGGCGGTGGCGGTGCGGCCGGGTGGGTCTTGGAGACACGGTTTGCATCCAAGAGAGTACAGGAGTACCCAGCACGACCCCTGCGCTGGCCCAGCAGCCACTCCCCGAAAGGCGCTGCCCGCGCTGACCACCCAGTCGCGTCTCCTATCGGCTGGGTTGGCAGGGACGCCGGGAGGACAGGGTCTTTCCTGTTGGACTGGAGTACAGCTCCGCCGGTATACAGCAGGGCAGCCTCCGGGAGCCGCGGAGGCCGAGAACCCGGGAAGGAAGATGCCTGCAGATCGCTGCAGCCCGAGGTAATCACGATGGATGACCGGACAGGTCCTCGCCTAAAAACCGAACCGGGCGAGTTGAAATGCGGACTCCAGAGGTGGCACCGCGATCAGAACAAGTTTCTTGGGGTTTGAAATGAAAGTGTCTTGAAATTGGCACTCGTTTTGATTATCAGCCTTTACTGTTCTGTTTTAAATAAGTTTATTTAAACAATAAAAAAATAGTTTCATGAGAGACTGTGGGCTTGTAAATATAATCGTAAAAGTTTTGCATGTTGTGGTTATTTGCTTATGCATATTTATTAACGTGTTAACTCTCCCACTAGTCAGAAAATTGACATTTAAAATATTCTTTGAGGAACATTACAAGTTCGTTGTTGCGTGCAGACATTGTGTTATTTATCAGCTTAGTTAACATCTGTCTTCCTGAAGTAGTACCAAAGCCGGGTCCCTTGACGATGGGTCTTGCATGTGACACTCTTGCCCTCTAGTGCCTCACCAGCTTGGTAGCAGTTTGATGGCAAATATTAATAAGATGTTACATAACAAGGATTTTGGGCCAGGATTGGTATTGCTGCCACTTGTAAAGCCAAAAATTCTGAGCCGATGGTAACAGATGCTGTTTCGGGTTATTGTATGTCTATTGAAACTTTCTCCAACATTTTGAACTCTTCGAATTTTAATTCCAGGTAAGGATATCTGTTTACTTACACTATATATTAATGGCTTTACTCATAAGTGTAGGGGCTGTTAGTAACAGATAACAACTTTGTTTTCAGTTAATTAAGAATTTCAGGATTAAACAAGTGACTCATTTTATTCTTTAAGAAGTAGAGCATTTTGGTTAAGTTAGCTAACAATCTAAAATTGTCCTGTAGTACATTTGTTAAACAGATGACATGTCTTTTGTCTCTGTAGAATTTTGGGAGTGATATCAAAAATTTAAACTATAGCTATTTGTTTATCTATACAGTAATGGTACTCAGCGAAGCTTTGTATTTAATGCAGTTTATTTTATAACCATTTTTAAGATTATATGAGTAAAAAATTAAATGTAGCTGGAAAGATTGAGTAACCATAAGTATTGAATGTACAGCTTTAAGTTAAAGAAAATAGGTATATCTCCTATTTAATATAGCCAGTTTGGGGGAGGGGTTGGGGAAGAATTAAAATACTTTCCTTAAAGGGTTTAACCACATAGTCTTTCATATATCTGGGCACAGTTTTCGCCTCAAAGTTATTTAAAGTTAAAATTTTATATGTACTTTTATAAAAAATATTTGGATATAGCAACATATATAATCTGAAGTTTTGAGTAAAACAATTCAAAGCAATATAAATGTCTATTTTTCTAATATTTAGTAAGATAGAAATGAAATATTGAGTTGTGTGAAACTGACCTCAAATTTCTTCTTTTTTTTTTTCCTTTTGCTCTTAGAAAATATCATGTTATCAAGTATTGAACAGTTACTCATCACGAGAGAGCAGAAAGATGAAAGGAAAACTGATATTTAGCTGAAGGGATTTTTTCCCCTCTTGCTTCAGCCATATCAATTTTGTATTTGAGAAGGAAGTTTCAATAATATATTTGAATGAGACTTTTTAAAAATAAGTACTGAACATAATAAGAGATTGCCCTAGCAAAGGTCTTTTATTTTCTTCATTCTCTAGTTAACACAGATTCTATCATTTCTGCAATATAGTTATTGTTTTCTTTATTATCTTGATTGTAAAACAGAAGGCTTGTGTCTTTGTGTAAGTGAGAAATGTGAACTGTTATATGAGCTAATATTTTTCTTCATAGTCTTTAGAATGAAGGTTTCTCAGGTTACTAAAATGTTTCTGATAACAAAAACTTTTATCTGTTTCTGAAGAGATTTGGTATAGTTTAATTTGGTTGAGTAATAGTGTACTTTCTCCTTTAATATATTTTCTTGAGCAAAATGTTTATTTCCAAAGTTATAACAAATATTCATTTTTGGTATACCTGAAATATCTATTGAGAAGAAGAGATAACAAGATATTTGATTTTTTTTTCTGGATTATACCTTCTGATGAAAAATTACTGAGTCACAATCTAAATATTAAATGCTTGACTTATCATTTCAAAGTTTTAAAATTATAAAGAGGTGATAATATGTTCTTTTAGTTCTGGGAGTCTGATTAGATGTCTTCTTTGAAAATTGGTTGAGTCTTAGCTGCTTTTTGCTTATTAGGGCCAACTTGTAAACTTCCATGTGCATTGTTGAGATACAAAGTATAAACAACGAAAACTATATGTGAATAAATACTTTGTGACTTTTATGTACTTATAAAAAGAGGGAAGTAGAATTACCAATAAAAGCAGTATTCTAAATTACATGAATGCCTTGAATATCTAATAGCTTAACAGTTAGACAATGGGGGAAAGCAGTAGAACTTTACTTCCCCATGTGGTGATAAGCATTCACATTGAAACCTGAGAACGTAATCAGATGAAGAGATGCCACCAGGCTACAAAAGTAGCAGCCTGCAATATAATGATAATTAGTTTGAACAATACTTGAAATTATTTTATGACTGAAATTCCTCTTAGAACTGTAGTGAAAAATTGATTTTAGAGTCTGTTGGTTTGTCTGGTTTTAATAAAACATATATCCTTGGGTACCTGGATATCACAATGAGTGATTTATCCCTTATTGTTACTCTATAAACACTTTCATAAATTTCACATAAATTACATGACTAAAAAAAGAAAAAGAAGTTCAATCCTACTACAAATAATGCCTAAAGTACATCATTTCATATAATCTCTTACAAATAACTTAAGGCTGTAACTCTTTAGTACCTATTGCTAAATAAAAGCTTAAATATCAAGTATTGTAGTTCTATTCTACAATTCTTAATCATGTCAACAATACCCATCCATTTTACATATACTTCAATCTTTAATCTTTTTTTTTAATGGTGTTTGAAAATAAAATGAAAATAGACTGTATTCTAGGCCTGGCTCTACCATGAGAGAGAGTGTTTTTGAACAGCCCCCTTGTGGGTCATGGGCCTTGGTTACCTCACCTGTAGAATGAATATATGAAAGACTCTTTCCTTTCTGTTTCTTGTCTAAAACTATAGAAATTGATATTGATAATAGCACAAATACATATGAAGAAGCATTATAGAATAATACAAAATTTAACTTGTTGATGAATGCTTTGTTGAGGTTTTTACTAGTAGAGATGTAGGCTGTTAAAGTAAGTTAACATTTGAAGAATATTTACATTGTGCAAGCTCATCTAGTCTTAACAAAGATGATTTGAGTTAAATAGTATTCCCATTTCAAAAATGAGGAAAGTGAGACAATGAGTGATTACTTACCTGTATAAGAATACATCCTTAGCAAGTTGTAGAGCTGATATCCAATCTTGAGTCTGGCTTCAAATGAACATGTCTTTTATCACTATATTACATTTTCTCTCAAATATTCATGCTTGATTTGCTTCTTAATATAATATAAGGAATCCATGCACCACTCTGAGCATTTTTGCAACTTCTATCCCTGCATTTGAAATAATCATCCATTCCTTCTGGAGGTATTTAATAAACGCCTACTTTTGTGCCAGTCATGAAAAAAGCAGTGCCCAGGACCATTAAATGTGGTGTCTTCTCTAATGAAATATATATGTCTTGTTTTGATTATTTATTTCTCTTTTCTTGTTACCCCAACTGGTGTGAGTGTCACTTTTCTAAAAGATGCCCAAAGAAACAGGAATTTTAAAATTGAACTTCTTCATTGATGCACTCATGGAATAAGAGGATTAGAATCAGGAACTATAATTTCCTCAGGACTCCTATCAAATTTCTGCATTGTTATTTTTTTCTACCTTTTTTTGTGTCATCATCTTTGTGAAGATTGACTGCTTTCCTTTCTGTAGTTTATGTAATCTGTCTGATCTCAAAATTTACATCTTATGGACCAGGTGGTTGCTTCACAATTATGTTGAAGGACAAAGATGTTAAGAGATAGATTAGATCCTTAAAACCGCATTGGCATTGCCCTGGTATTAAGCGTGCCTTTTCTAATTCAGTCTAAAAGGGAATAAGCAGACATTTTCCCCCTTAAGTCATACAGGCAGAACAAAAAGCAAATAGCAGTGGAATAGTTTTCTTCTTTTGCCTCACATCATAGCATAACACTGAGGGAGGTGAACAAAATGTATTCTTTCATTTATAATTTCTAAATACAAAGAGGGAGTGAACATTACAGTAGTCATTTTCCATTTAATGTACCTAACAAAGCTAATGCCCCCATGTGCAGCTTTTCTTCCATCCATCTTTCAAAATTCCTAGTTCTAAAGACAGAGTATATTCTTGGTTTTACTCCATGCAAATGAGTTTCTTACTTGCCTACCACAGCAGGGTTCAATTAACATGACACAATTTCACACATTCTTTCCCAAAGAAAAGCATGTTCTTTGTCAATTTTTAATATTACTAAATTACTTTTAGCAAATTCATGTAATGCATTTGAAGCCTCCAAATGTATTTTTCAATGCTATAAAATATTGCTAATTTTGAGGAATACTGTCAAGATCTTTTAAATATCTTTCATTTATGTTAGAACCTGAAGTTCTTTAGTTATTAATACTCATTTTCCAGATGGTAATCGTTTTTCACATTTCTTGTACTGCCAACTTTAACATGATTCTATTTCATTTAGAAATTGATTTTTACTCTGGGATGATGGTGGGTGTTAGTGAAAGAGAAAAGATAGGTTACATTGACAAGTAGGTAATTCCTCTTGTGGTTACTGCAATACTTTACGAAATGTATATTTGTATATATTCAGCTCTTCACTATGTATATGGAATATTCTGTGATTCCTCTCCAAATTAATTGTTACTTCTGCATTTTATTAATGATAAATTATTAAATATTTGCTAATGTTTTCTTGATGGAATGTTTTTAAAAACAGTTACACTGCAAAGCAACACTAGTCACACTGAAATCTGAAAAAATCTAAGAATGAGAAAATCAGATATTTGAGTAAGATTCAATGAAAGATACATCCTGGATGTGCCTGATTTATGGCTCTGGTCAAGATGGTCAGTGCTATTCACAATGTTTATATTATTGCCTTGAGTGTTTGAGTCCAATATGATTGATGGAGGTCCTCATTCATGAAGGATGGTTTGACTTGAATATTGCCCTGGTTTGTGAATGCAACTGCTATTTATACAATTTGGTAGAGGACTTTATTTTACTCATTTCTATAAGTTTTCAAAGAGAATGCATTCTTAAACAAAGCACTGTGTTATACATTAAAAATAAAGAAGATTTTACAGATGCTTCCAGTATGTGGAGAAAGAGTATGCAGAATATCACATGTTGGTGAAGTACGCTACAGAGGTACAGGGTGGTGTGAGTGTTTAACAGGGAGGTTTTACAGGTCTAGGGGAACAGGGAAGACTTGTGAGGTAAGGGCATTTACACTTGGAACCATAGGATTTACAGGATGCATTCAGATGAAGAAATAAAGTAAATCATTTTTAGACAAATGTGACAGCATGTGAGAATCACTGAGATAGAAAAGAGATTGGACCTTTTTAAGGAACTGAAAGAAGACACACTTGCCTGGAATGTGCAAGAGGAGTATGCCATCTAATCAGGTCTGAAGGGTAAAAATGGGAAGAATACCACATAGTGTCTCATG